GGCGTGGTGGAAGGCATCGGCCTACCCCATTGGCTGAATCAAGCCCACCTGGATCTAGTTTGGACGGCCCACCTGGCTTGAGAGTCTTGGAACATGCCCCAGAACGGTCTTTATAGGTGTTTAATGCCTGATTCTCTTCCAACCTCCTGTAGGAGGCCTTATGCAGGTATGGGAGGGACAACCCCCTCTATCCCTATTCTGCTACCTGACAATTTTTAATTATTGGCACCTGCTAGTGATTAAAGAATTGCAAAGCATCCCCAATTACCAACTTACTGGGTGTGATTTGAGACTTTTTCTGTCCACACTTTAATGCAGAAACAATCATAAGGGAAATGCTATATAATGTACAGATAGTCTTTATTGCCAAAATGCCAATTAAAATAATATTGCAGCTCTAAGGAGCCTTGGTAAAGTGCTGGACTGCTGACCAGCTTGCATCACCCCAGGTACCTCGAGGGAGGAAGACGAGGCTCATTCCCGTAATTAGCCAGTTCTCCCCTCCTTCACGCAGATGTCTACCCACGTGGAGTCGCTGTCAGTCAGAGTCTACTCGATGGCAATGCGGTGTGTGTGTAAGCAGCTCGGGCGGTCCGGCGCGTGGCACCCGCTAGAGGTGTACAGCCGGAGACGCTGGCGGGTGGACTCTACAGAGCCTCTGTCCGCGCTATCCTTAGGGCCTGTGACCAAATCCGCCCCCCCCCGTCGAGGCGAGGCACTTCCTGAGGAAGTAAGGTTCTGGTTCCGGGGCACAGGGGCCCTGGCCCCGCCTCTCGCCCAGCCGCTTCCGGCGGGCCTGCCCACGACGCTCTCGCGAGAGGCGGGAACGTGGTTTCGGCCGACCGCCGCCCTGCGGTGAGCCCCCACCTCGCCGCCCTCCGGTGCCTTTCCGAAAGGTGTGGTTCTGCGCTTTCGAGATCGGGATGAACCACCCCTTTTCAGAAACAGAATTATTCCGCGCCCCTCTGGCCATTAAAACTGCTCTAGTCCATAATCCAGGAGCGAGTGTAGGGGTCCGTTTGGTCAGCCTCTCCGGAGAGCACCAGCCCACCGGGAAACTGCTCTAGGGGGACTTTAGAATGAATAGCGGAGCCTTTTTGTCCCGGAGGGGAAGTATCCGGAGAACGCTAGCTAGCTGTCTTGCACTGGAACGACTGGTTCTACACAACACAGAAAATCTAGATAGATAAAAACCTAATTCCGTTTTACACACGTTTTCCCCCTCCCCTATCTTTTTTTTTTGCAGCTTCTCTATCCCCACTGTTTTTCAGGATTCCAACTAGTCTAAATCAAAGAGCGCTTACACGGTTTTGCCCAGAATTTGCTCATCCCAGAAAACCACCTCACCTTGGTAACACAAACTAATACACACTTTGATCTGTGTAGGGTTAGCTACCTTATTCACAGTAATTTGAGGTACCAACTTCTGAATTCATTGTTTCCCCTATTTTATAATACAATTACAGGAAGCCCTGGTGTGTGTAGCTAAAATGCTTGGCTGCTTAACTCAAGATCAAGTGGTTCAAACCCACCAACTGCTCTGTGAGATATAGATGTGACAATCTGAGTCCTTATTCAAGATTTACAGCCCTGGATTTTGAAACGGATAATGGCAACATTTGTACAAATGTGCTTGATACAGTGGATGTATGGATTGTTTTAATAAAGAGCCCCCAATAAAATGACTAAAAAAAGTATTTACAGCCCTGGAAACCCTATGGGACACTTGTACTCAGTCCTAGACAGTCAGAATTGACACATTTATGTGGTTTATGCTCAATCACTGACAGGACCCACCTAGAAGAAAGAATAGGTGATCAGTTTTAGGTAAGATCATTTAGATGTGTGTATGTAATTTTTCTAAATTGTGTTTTTGGTTAAAGTTTACAGGGCAGTTTAGCATTCTCAGTATTCACCCTTGGGAGCTCTGGTTGCGTGGTTAGCATTGAGCTGATAACCACAAGGTTAGCAGTTGAAACCCACTAGCAGCTCCTCAGAAAACAGATGAGGCTGTGCATGTACTCCAGTAAAGAGTTCCAGCCTCTGAGCCGAAAGAGGCAGTTCTACTCTGCCCTACAGGTTCTCTGTCTGAGTCAGAGGTGGAATCCACTCAAGGGCAGTGGATTCCATTCATCTAGTTTCTCTGCATGCTTTAAAAAAAAATCATTTTATTGGGGCTCATACAACACATCACAATACATACATACATCAATTGTGTAAAGCACACTTACACATTCGTTGCCCTCATCATTCTCAAAATTCGCTTTCCGCTTGGGTTCCTGGAATCAGCTCATTTTCCTTTTTCTCCTCCCCCTTCCTCTTCGCTCCCCCCTCCCTCATGAAATCCTTAATAATTTATAAATTATTTTATCTTACACTGCCCAGCGTCTCCCTTCACCCACTTTTCTGTTGCCCATCCCCCAGGGAGGAGGTTATATGTAGATCCTTGTGATCGGTTCCCCCTTTCTATCTCCCCTTCCCTCCTGGTATCGCCACTCTCACTGTTGGTCCTGAGGGGTTCGTCTGTCCTTCTTATCTTTGTTTTAAAGTTATTGTTGACTGATCCATCTCGAATGAGTTTTTAAAAGTACAGTACTCACAGGTGATATTTGGGGGGGACAATTTGTTATTTACAGGTGACTTCAGGCTAGTTTGGGCTCAAGGTTTAGAGTGTCTCTAGACAGTCATGTCAGGGAGTCCTTCACTTCAAATTGGCGAAGTTGGTGGGTTTTACATTTGTCTTCTGTTCTTTCAGGGACCTTTCATTGGGGCTTTGACCACAACAGTTGGTAGTGGCAAGCCAGGCGCCATCTAGTCCTTTGGTTTTGGGGGTAGATGAGGCTATAGTTCACGTAGACCACAGGTGTCCAAACTTACTTGGCCTACCAGTCCCTTTTCAGTTAAAAAAAAACCCCAAAACTCAGTGCCTCCCCACCACATCCCCCTCAGAAATGAGAACACTTTTGTATTGTAGCCCATAGTCCAGAATAAAGTGTAGGTACCTGCTTTTGCAGCACCCTAGTTCATTCGAGGGCCCCCGACAGGGATAGTATCACCCACTCGGGGGAAATACTAGAAGCGGATTTACTCTAATAGACTTGTTTCTTTGGATCTTGGGTGCCGTTCCTTGTGCTCAGGAGAAGTAGAGACCAGTCCTGTAGTAGATGGCTGTTCTCCAGCTTTTCAGACCTGTCGAATCTATGTGAACTCACGGCAAGGCCAGGTTCCAGGGTGGAACTAGTCCGTGGTTTTCTGGACTGTAGTCTTTATGGCAGCAGAGTATCAGATCTTGTCCCCACAGAGCCATGGATGGGTTTGAACTGTTAACTGCTAAGCTAGTGGCTGAGCGTGGAACTTTCCTTCAGTAAAGACTAGTCCAGAAAGCCCTACTCTGAAACACAGGGCAGTCACAGTTGAGTTCTGAAATGACTGGTCAAGATGGGCTTGTGGTCAACCACCAACTCACGGTAACCCCATGCACAACAAGGCATGTTTAGGCAAATCGTCTGTGAATTTCATTTCAGAATAGTAAAAGGGGAAAAAATATTGTTTAAATAGTAAAAGAGGTGGTTATATTTACTCTTTAAAAAAATGGGGGTGGGGAGGGCCCTGCGGGCGCAGTGAAGTATTAAGAACCACTGATTTTAAGGGCCTGAAATGACACGAGAACAGAACCTGAGCAGCCCAGAGCACTTGGTCAATCCGAAACCGGAGTGTGGACACAGCCTGCCCCTCCCCCTCTCCATTCTCGTCCTCCCTCCCCTCAAAAGGATCCCATGCCTCGGCCACAGCACTCGCTGGACGGTAGCCATTGCAAGCCTTTCTGTGCCAGAACCAGAGCTTTGAATTTGGGTCAGAACTGTGACCATAGATGTACCAACCCTGTGCTATAAAGATATGTAAAGACTTTAAGATGTACAAGTGTTGGTGCCTATATTCCAAGAGTGCCCTTTGGAAATGATGATTCTGTAGTTATTAAGGAATCCACGTCTATGACTGTCTTGAGTCCAACCTGGGCAATGGGCTCTGGACTTTCTGGTTCTGATCACTCTTCTCCCTCCCTCTGCTGACCCACACAGACCCAAGCCCCCAAGCCCTGATTCCTGGCAAATACGGAGCATCGGCGGCTTTTCCTAGGCGAAGATGGCTTTTTCCTCAGACGAGAAACCCTCTCCACTTGGCCACCCAGACCGCTGACCGCCGGGGCTGCGCAGGCCTGAGTGAAGCGGGAGAGGGCCATAGGGAGCTCGGACAGAAGGATGGGGAGACTTCCAGGATGAAACTGCTGCCAGACCCGAACGCAAAACTAATGAAGTGCATTCTAGTTCAATGCCCCCACCTTGCGGGGTTATGGTTTCTGCTCTACTCGGGTCACAG